GGGTGCATAGCCCTCTACCTGGGATCTCTCGAGCATGTACTGACAACTTTTCGTAGAAGCAGGACATTGGCTGCCATGGTTCCCTGCTTTATCTGTGGCAGATTAGCGTGTTAGGCCTACATTGTGTCAAGGTTGACAGCAGTCTTATGAGAAGTTTAAGTTATAATTTATATGGGATGGTTTGGATAGGACTGATCCCTCCTCAGGCCTCTGGGGATCCCTTCCAACCCTAATTTCTCTATGCCTATGATTTTAATGACAGGAACCAAGAAATTAAAAACTACAGTTTCCTCCTCTAACTAATCATAACAATTGCCACAAAGAAAACAGGAGCTGTATTATTTAAGAATGACTTGAAATATAATTAAAAAAAACTAGAAGATATCCATGAATTAAAAAAGAATGAAAATGTTTAAGATGGCACAGAAATCACATCACAATAAATTACTCTTCCTAGAGTTCAACCTAGAGAACAGATCCCAAGAGGAGGCTCTAAATTAAGAAGGTGCTTCACCACCTGCCACATGCTTAGAAAAGGCTTTGTCAGCATATAGCATCTTTCAGACAGAAAAGCTTCTTCTTTGTAGAATGCTGACATTCTTCTATGGATTGTGAAAGTATAGGCTACTCTTGCCTAGCATAAATATAGAGAATGGAGTACGGAGAATAGACTGTAGTACTTACCATACAGAAACTGAAAAGGGAAAGTACTACAGTCTATTCAGTCTAGAAGTAGAGTCACTAATTTAGTTCCTTCTTAAGTGTTTGAAACTGCTATAATCATTCAAGACAGCCTAAAGCAGGGAATATGTTTTTCCCACAACTGGTTACAGGTGATGTCAACGGCTCTCAAAGACACTGAGGAAGAGGGAAGGAATTTTGTGGTGGAAAGCCAATGACACTTTTTAAGCAGTGGTGGAACAAGAGTCAAGCCTGCTTATGCCCACATCAACAAAATCCAAAAGTAACAGGACAAGATACAGGTCAGGACTAGTATATAGGTGCAGGTAACAAAAGAAGTTGGGACCTACACAGTGTGAAAGGTTCCTGCATAATTTTAAACACCTTTGATTTGATGCTGGTCTTGTATCTTATTCCAGTATTCCTTGTAACTCTTACATACAATTCTACTATTTTGCCCACTAATAATCTAAATTCCAGCTGATATGCAGGACATAACTAGGAATCATTAAGTAAGGATAGAAAAGGTCTAAGCAGCCAGTCTTATTCTCCCACTGGATAACAAACCCCCAAAAGTTACCGTGACTTTTTTTAGGGTCTCTCAGAATTTTTGACTAACAGATTCTTTCAAAAAAATCCTGTCATTGTCTATGTCTATGCTCAATGTAGGTGCATTACCCCCATTTTAATACCCTATTTTCCCCTAAAAGAATGCATCAATGCAAGCTTTTTCAACATTTTGTGGTATCCACAGTTTAAAACTAGATAAAGTTTTCTTGTAGCAAGTTTCATGAATGTTATATACTAATAAAGCACCACCTCAACATTTCTACGGTGTTATTCCCTTTGGACATCCAAGGATTGCATTATTCTAGGGACAGCAAACTCATTCTGTAGCAAACACCCAGTTACCATTTAAGATACTAATCTGTGGTTCACAGATAATTAGTTATTAAGCAAGAGGCCAATTTTGCAGCTTAATTAATGGCACTGAGTCTTTCTAAGTAAGGAAATATATTCCATAAAGATTTTCTCAATATAAACCTTTATGAAATCTCCATTTCTCTAGCTTTAACTTACTTTTCTGCTTACTTCCCTTCTACAACTAACTCTAACCTAGTCTGGCCAAAATTCCCTCTCTCCCCTTTTCACCTATTAGCCCACTAAGGCAATTTTTCTAGTATACCACTTGGGAAATTCTGCCCCATATTATTTCTCATTGTGAAGAGCTCTTCGAATACCCCTTTGATCTTTACCACTCTACAACCCATTTGGAGAAAATCTCATCTTCCCCTCTCTATGAACAGAGCTCAGCAGTAGCAGAAATGATAGGGAGAGGGAGAAGTAGCTGTCCCCCTGACTTATAGCTTAGAACAGGGGTCGGTAACCAATAGCCTATGAACCCCTGGATCCGGCCCATGGATATGGGACTTCAGCAGCATTCAGAGATGGGATGTTTTGGTTACAGGTGCTCTCATGCTGCCACAGAGACAAGCATCAGCTGTGAGAGTTCTCCCCATGCCACTCTGGAGACATGCAGCAGCAACAGCCAGGTCCTAGCATTCCCCCTGCCCATCTCATACCTAAGCTGGATCATTCTGGCCCACAGCTGAAATAAAGGTTGCCTATGCCTTGCTAAGAATGCTACATCTACTCTGGTAATGAAAGGGAGTAGGTAAAAAGATGAACTCTGACACCTATAACCAACTACCCCATCAGCTCCTCCCAATCAAGCTCACATTTTGGCTCTCCATGGCCTCGGATGGCTGAGAAGTGTGAAGAAGGAGCTGCAAGTCGGCTGACAAATTTTCTTAATCTGATCTTATACATAGACTGTATTTTCATTACCTTTGCTCCAGTTCCTAACACTAGTAGGAACAAAGAAAAAGAAGTTTGAAAATCTAAATTAAGAAATTTTATTCTATAGGGCAATGACTATTATTCCTATCAAAACTCATTATCCCTATCTTATTTACCTGCATATCACACGCACTCCACAAAAATTAGCCCTCCAAAATTGGGGTGCATGTCTTAAGTTGGAAGCTGATTTTTCTGAGCAGAATAGAAGCATGAAGAAGCTATAAAATTGCTCCTGTTTCTTTTCCTTCTCTCCTCATACCCCCAGAAGCTGCTTAAAGGAGGGACAGAGTCTAGTCTTCAACAGCAGATACAGCTTTAACCCTTTCATAGTTGAATTGGAGCAGGGACAGATGTAACCTTCAGCTCACTCACCCTCCCTTTCCTGTTCAGGCAAAAGCAGTCAATTAAGCTGTGAAAAGGTTTTCCTGAACAGGAAAGGGAGGGTGAGCGAGCTGAAGATTAGGAGCAAGGACAGAGCCATATGGCAATAACTCTGGAATTTTTTTTTAACCCCTACATTCTGCCGCCTTCCTTAAAACTAAGATGCGTCTTATTTGGGGGCGCTGGGTATGTTAGAAATACAATGGTAGGGTTTTATTAGCCCTTTTAACCATAGGTTCACCTAGCTCACTATGATTTAAGTCCTTTACAAAAAAAAAAAAAGATTAATGGGAACATCCTGAATTAAGTATCCTATATGTATATACAGAATGCATGTTGATGGTTGTGACTAGAACAAGCATGTGGGCATCACATTCACTATTGAAGTCTGATGAAAAGTTTATCTTTTATTATTTTTCAGCGGTAACAAATAAAAGGGTTCAGGACAGCCTAAGTGAAAATTATTAACAATATTCTTTAATACCTGACTTCTGATTTTTCCCTTGAACTGTTGGCTAAGTTATTTATACTTACAGTGACTGTATTAACGACTGTTTAAAGATTTTTAAAATTTGGGTCTTTGTTTTAAATGGAGGAAAGGAGGGGAGGGGAGAAGTCTTCCATACAACAACAAAACTGTATTTTTATTTAACAATCATCACCCTGAAAAAACCCTCAAAAATATGCAAAGCAATTCTGAAGTTTGCCTCACAGATGAAATTTTTTTTTAAATTTAATACTGACTAGCAAATAGTGTTGAAGTCATTTGTGTAGTGAGGACCATTGTTTTTACTGCTTGTATTGCTACATCCTCCTCTTCTGTCCACATGCTAGCTGCCAGTTCCCACAATACTGAAAGCATTCATTCAGTGATAAGAAGCTTAATAATGGCAGCACTGCAGAAACAGCAGCAATAGTACAAAGCTGTAAAGATAAGACATATACTTTAAAAGTACAATTGACAAGTATGCCAGACATGATATGAAGCTCAGCAAAGGTCCAACAGCAACAACGATGGAAATATTTCTTCCTCCATTCTCTAAAATTGTAATGTCAGTATCCAGTTGTCTGTCTCACTGTACTGTTTAGCTATGCATAAGAACAGAATATTCAGTGCTTAGCAGGGGACTAGAATTCTGATTTAAATAAAAAGCTACAATAAATATATCCTTGAATAATGTTAAAAAATTGAGAGGAAAAGGTTTTTTATGATATCTTTTATTAGACCAACTGTATAGTTGAGAAAGATGTTGGACAACCTTTCAGGAAAGGAATTTTATGCCAAACAGCTTGCCTAATATCTCTCCAATATACACTTGGTCCAATAAAAGATGCCACAAAAACCCCTTGCCTCCTGTACATTTCCCAAACCATCATGGTTACAACATTCTAAGCATAGTAGACAAAAAATTGCTAACTAGCTACTACTGTACAGTGAAACAATGCCACATGCACTCTCGGGCTGTTTTGTTTGTTTTTTTAAAAGGCAAGAGAATCAACTATGGGTACTGAAAAGATACAAGACAGGGGCTAGGGTAGCACAGGCACTAAGGCAGCCCAGAGGTCAAAGTTCAAGGACACATCAGGAGCACTTATGGTGTTGCCCTGTCAGATTCCAATGAATTCATGAAATCTGCTGAATACCTTGCCAAAAGGACATGAAAAAGGAAAGGAAAGGTTCAACACATATACAAAACTGAGTATGAAAACACTGACACCTGGAGTATCGCACAGCTCCTCAATACTTTTCTACGAAAACAAGGATTTTTAGTATTGATTGGGAATGTCCACGTTGAAAATTCTTTCTGAATAAGTATTTTTTTCTGAGATAAAGTTATGAACATTGCATGTCACCTAGCCACAGTAACACCATTTCCCACCCACAGATGTTAAAACATTTTATAAGAGGAAAGTATTATCCCCATTTGAAAGATGGGGAAACAGACATGGCAAGAAGAGACTTGCCCAAATTCTCAGAGTGACTTGAAATTCAAATTAGTATCATCATAAATGTACTTGGTGTTACTGCTAACATCTGCTTGTGAATATTCATAAAAGTAAATCAAACTTCTACTCACGATTTATGTGGTCCATATAATAAACTCCGATCTGTTGATCGTAAACAGTTTCCCATCCTAAAGGAAGCTCATCGCCAACACAGTCAGCAAATGTTAATGGCTTTGTAATTCTGTAAAAGCATACATGTAAATAAATTCAGGATGTGCAATGAAGGCTACTAAGTTTTCTTATTATTATTTATTTATTGTCTCACAGAACAGGTAACAGTAATTTAGACCACCTCTACAATTTGACTCAAGTTAAGATATATAAATTGCTAGAGTGACACTGACAATAAACTACAAATGAAAATTTCATTGTAAAAATGTGTGCTGAGAGATACTCCCCAAACAGGTAAGACAACTTTTCCCTTTAAGTTCTGTGTTTAATGATTTAATTATGATGGTATGTAGCCTTGCCAGTTTTCCCAATACGGCAGTAACAACGTAAATGCAGAGCTGGAATTCACCACTCCTGACAACTGTTAGGAATTTACAGCTTCCAAGTTTTCAAAATGTCAAAAAAGCAGAATTTGCAATCCACACAGAAGCTCCAATGTAAATATACATTTCTGCCTTTTTCAAATTTGCCCATATACAACTATTTGTGAAGTACTATAATTTCAAAACAAGACAACCTATTCCACCACACTCCCTGGGAAAAGGGACGGGATGAAGGGAAGAGGGGAAATCACTAAAGATGTTAAACGTGTTTTGATATTCATGGATTAAAGGATATAAATATCTCTATTATTGGTAAAAGCAATACTAACTAAATATTTTGAATATCATACCACATCTACAGCTACTACTTTACAGATCAACAGTAATAAATAAAATAAAGAATTTTTAACATTTATTTGAGTACTGGTAGTGTCATTTTCCTAATATTCCATACACCACAGATTCTACATTTGTTCTGCTCTCAAAAATCAAACCTATAGAAAAAATTAAGACAAACAATGGAAAAGAAAAAGATGGATAGAATCAAATGTCTGAGACTTGTACCATATTTATTTTCTAAAGAATCATTCCACTAACCAGTTAATCAATCACTTTACTTGAGTTTCTAGGTAAAAGTTTGTTTTTTTAAATGAGCTAACTATTCAATGAACTCAGCTACAAAGGGGGAAAAAAATCTATGCTTTATTATAAACAAAATACATGACAATTCATCATTTTTTTTCAGACATTTACAGAATTCAGTTCAATGGTCAATTTTATAAATATAAGCATTCAATAGACAGGTCAGTTCTAACTTAACGTACTTTAAATGAAGCATACTCACCACATCTTGCATAAGAGCAATTTCTAGATTAGTATATAAACATGCAATAGCCAATTATGCTTCCCTATCAAATATGAGGATTTGGACCACATGGCTAGGGACAGATATTACAAATAAACCAGTTTAAGTGATCAGAAACTGGTTTAAGCCTGTAACAGAATATATGTTCAGTGAACATAAACCAGTTTGAAAATGGCTGAAACTAGTTTGAGATAAACCTGGTTGAATGGAGTATCAGACAACTGATTTACCTCAAACTGGTTTATAGAACGTCTGTCCCTGACCTCTTGCTGGTTTAAGACAAACCAGACACTCCCAGCATCCCAGCATGCTCTCTGGGCTAGGTAGGCCTCTCTGTTCCACAGCAGGGCTGGCCCGTCCCTTCTGCTCCCTGGCTGCAGCTACCCCCGCCCCCTCACCACTCCCTGCTAAGCAGGAATTCCCCCCTCCCCTCTGCCTTGCTGAGGAGATGTCTGTGTATTAGCTAGAGAGATATGGATGTTCTGGAAAATTTTGAATTAAAAAATTTTCTGGAAAATTTTTCAATGCCCTAAATAGAGCGTGATCTGATTTAGCATGTTTCTTTGACATATATTTAGTAAACAATACTAAAAGAGTACCCCATGTTAAGTTTATGTCCCAATAGCCACAAGTATTTGATTACGAAAAAATTAAATACAGCACACTTCATGAGGTTTAAATGTCACATTCAAACAAATTCAAAGCTTTATGTAAAAAGAAATTATTTTTATTGGAATACTTGTAAAAATGTAAAGACAATACACAATAGCACGTACTTCCCTTACATTGTTTGTTTAAATTTAAGAAAAAAACAGTGAAGGTACTGAAAACTGCTGACACACTAATTTTAGCAGACCCAAAGACCTGCGCAAGATATGCCATGCTTTCATTTTGATTTGACCTGCACGGCCAACTAGGTGAATTCATAACTTGATTTTTGGTTTGGAATATTATGTGAGGGTATTTACCCTTGCGTTTAAAAATCAATAAAACGTGTATGTACTCTCTCATACCCCTCCTAGGGATAATAACCTGAAAAAAACATTAATTACAACTTTTAAACTGCCAAGTTTGCCTAATATTGTATTGGTCTCCATTCATTGTTACTAGTGAATTTTATGAAACAATGAATTTTTAGAAATGGAAAATTTCCCACAGAAAAATAAAGCACTGATTAGCTAGCAGACCACATGCTGGCTATGATTCCTACTGAATCAACAAGTAGAATCAACAAGTAGCTGGTAATGTCCTTCTGTTTTCTTAATTTGTGGTAAACATTGTTATCAATTCCCTGCTGGGCTAATCACAGTGTCCTGCCCGAGCCTGGTCACACCCCACTCAGCTCCATGCTGTGGAAGGAAAGAAGGGCTGCTCTAGCACCCCCGGCTTCTAGCCTGAGCCACTGCAGGCATGTGCCTGCATTTCTGGGATGTCTGCCCAGTTACAAAACTGATTTAGCCTAGCCAGGTTAAACTAACCTGCAAAGATCTGAATCAATTCAGGCTTTTTGAATGTCTGTCCCTAGCCCATAAGTTATTTAGTTTCATAGCCAGTAGGGATCACAAGTAACTTCTAATCTGACACTTAAACTTCACCCAGTAATTCTTGCATAAGCCAAAATTTTTACTTGAATTTTCTTTGAAGCATAAACTTAGTTTAAAGACTTAAAGCAAGAGAGAATTTACTATGTCCATTGGTGGGCTGCTCGCTCCAGTACTCAATTACCCTCAATGTTAAAAATGCATACCTTTCTTTCTATTTAAATTTCTCAAGCTTAAATTTTGGAAATTTCTTACTACTGGTACTTGGTATGTCTTCATATGATGTATGTTTATAAACCCTTAGTTTCCAAAATATCCATTCCTGGTGTAGGAAGAAACTATTCAACTTATCCCTCAATGCCAAGCTCCTCAAATCCATCACTGTAAAGTTTATGCTGCAGATCTCAAGCCATTCTTATAGCTTTTCTCTGTACTCTCTCCCATTTGAAACATTTATCCTGATATATGAACACTTACAACAGACATCGCAGTAATGCAATTGGTGGGGAAGGGGCAGAGCAGACCACGAGCCCTGGATACCAACTTAAAAAGGGGCATCCTCAAGGTCCTTTCCACTCTCCTGATATACTAAAATGGTGGGCCCTCTCATACCCCACATGACTCCAAACCAGGGGCTGGCACGTTTTTCCCTCATGGACTGGAGTTTGCAGCCTTGGGCCCCTTGCCACAAATCGACATCCTGTAGAGAACTCAAGCCTCCTGTGCTTGCCTCCACTACAGATACTTGGCCCCTCTGCAGCAGAGACAAGCACAGGCATGAGGGAGCAGCAGGATAGTGAACAGGACAGGCAACTCAGTGTGGCTACATGCCACCCAATCCCCAGTGCCACCCTTCCCAGGATCAATCTAACCACTTCACAGGCTGAGTCTATCTGCAGGTCACAGGATGTCAGTCCCCACTTTTCACTATTTTTCTGCTCCCTGCTCCACAGCACTCTAGCTGCTCTATGAGTTACTCTCATCACCAAATTTGACCCTTAAAATTGTCTCTTAATATCCAAGGCTGTGGCAAATAGAGCAAAAGAGTAGCCCTCAATACAAAGCAGGGAAGGCCGAGATGCTTTAGACAGGAAGGGGAAGGTGGAATGGTATGATATGAGTTAGCTCAGAGTGCAACATTTTACTGATTACATCTCAGAGACACGGTATTTCAGCACTGGTTTCACCAAAGATATATATGGAGGGGGTAGTCCTTCCTTATCAATATGCCTTTGCTTGAACATCCAAAGGCTTTACTACCCCTAACATATAAGAATATTTATGATAGCTAAGGCAAATCAACACAAAGCATGGAAACCAATGTGGTCAGCTCCTGCACTTACATTTATTCAGGAGAAAAGCTACAGAGGAAATAACTACAGTATCTAAGGACACTTTACTACTGAATGAAATCATCCATCAGGTGGTTAAACACACTAGCTTTTCATTAATTAACCCTAATTTTGAATATCCCCCCAAGTAATTCTGGCCTGACTGACATTCCTCACCTCCCTCCCCGCAAGACAGCCTGAAATATATTACTCTAGGCTAAAAGGAAAAGAGTAAAATACTTCATAATTTCCAAACTTTTTCAGCCTGACAAACATTCCAAGTAAAAAAATGGCAGAGCACGTTCTATATTAAATCTCTGATCCTTCTCGTCAAGTCCTTATGCAATTATCAGTTTACAAGAGAGAAACAGATGAAGAGGGAATTTTCCCACACCTTCGCATTAACATGCTTTATTATTTATGTAGTACTTATATACAGTACAAGAAAAATATTCTCCTTTTAAAAATACAAGGAACTAATAAGACTTCTCTCACCTGTACATGTTCTCTTTTTATCCCAATATTTGAAATGTGTACATTTAAACCTAAATGGTTTGTCTATCCCAGTGGTTCTCAACAGTTTTAGACTCAAGGCACCCATCAGAAAATGCTCTCATAGCTTTGAAAAAAAAAAAAAATAGGGCAATTCCTTTGTTGCAAAGAACACAGAAAGATCACAACAATTCAGAATGTTTTTGACACTAATAGAAATTATCTCATGAATTACAAGCATGTATTTCTGGGGCGCTGGTTGTGGCTGTATTGGTCTAAGGAGATAGGAAGACAAGACTCTTTACGTACATGTGATATCTCTTATTAGACCGACTAAATAGTTGGAATCCCACCCAGATCAGGCCCCATGCCACCTGCAGCCAGCCCTGCTCACTGTGATAAGGTCTTGAAGTACCTCAACCCAGCCTCATGAGTCAGGATCAGACCCTGCACAGTCT